AATTGATCAATAACACTGGTACTATTATCTCTGAATGTACATTATCTCATATTGATTTTTATTCCAATATCTAATTGATTCCACACATGTATATAAATGAAGGAAAGAAGTTGTGTGAGTAACTTGATATGATTATGAATGGTAATAGTTTGTGCTCGAAATGTGGTCATCAGTTAATATAACTGTACAAAACTGTGTGATTTATCAAAATAAAATCTTATCCATCATAGAGTTATGCTCTACCACAGTGCCCAAGTTTTATACTTATAGCTGTAAATGTTGTTTGATAGTCATATCTAAGCATCATCATGGTTTCATACAAATATATAGATGACCTATTCCATCAGAAATGCTTTGTTTCTATTTACATCCTAATAGCGCCTATTTGGAACTGGTGGATTTCAAAGTGGTATGGTTGAACATCACTCCAAAATCAATTATATTGATGTTAGGTGATTAGAGGAAATCGCCACGACCTAGGATTTGTGCTTGTTGGCACTTATAAGCCAGCATTATTTACCATCTTGATGGAATTCAAGTCTCCTCTGAGATTCGAATCCATATCACTCACTAGTGAGCTATCGATTTTTCGTTGAACTAAAATGGACATTAATAATAATAATTTGCTTTATTCCAAAACAGTACTTGTGATACAAAATGGAATTCTCAGCATTTTCTTTACTACAGTATTGCATCCAGTTTGTACATTATCAATAAATAGAATTCTACATAGATTAAGGAAATCTCAGTTCATTATGACAACACCATACTGGCATGTCGGTAGCAAAGCCAAAGTTGAACAGTGTTTCAAGGTGTTAGAAAAGTAGGTGCTATCATATTTACTGGCGTAAGTGGAAGAAAGAAAGAAACAAATCAGTACATAACGGAAAAAGAGAAAAAAGAGAGAGAAAAAAGGAAAAGAAAAAAAGAAAATGTTGTACCTATAAATGATATGAGTTGGAAAGACGAGATCCAGTTGTTCTACTGACTATTTAATGAGTTATAGGTGTCACGCCTAATGCTTTCTTCATCGCACAGAACACGAGCTGAGTAGGGAGGATGGTTGAGTTTCTGTACTTGATTGCTGGTGACAGCATATAGTTTTCTACATGGGCTTCTGGTTTTGCCTGATGAGATGCCAGGTGAGGAGAGAGTTGTGAGTGAAGAGGGTGTGGTGTGAGTTAGATAGAATGGATTTGGCCCATTTTTCACATGAGTCCATGTGCCTGTCGTGTCGACCATAATAATAACAAGCTGGTTAAGTGGCACATTGCTTACCCTGCTGACAACCTTTAACATCCTGCATAATATGTTATAGTCTTTCTTCAGTAACCTGGGGAAAACTAAGAGTGAACAATAGAGAGTAATAGGCAGAATGTGAGAGTTAACGAATTGTAGGAGTAAGGGTTGGGGGGGGTTTATAGCTGAATGTTTTAACTTCTTGATGTAGGAGGTAATACGGAATATTTTCTTAGAAATCGTCAAGATATGAGACGACCAGGAGGGATCAGCAGATTGAATGACGCCTAGGTATTTGATTTCCGACTTGGTTTCTATTTCATTGCCATCTATGTTGCACACCTCATGAGAGCTAACCAGTTTGTATAGGTCGGATTTATGCCTAAAGGTGACATTTTGATAAGCCTTTAAATTGTGACGAATGCATCATGCGTCTAGTCCATGCGTGTGGTTGGTGTTGGTTGAACTGTACCAGTCAAATTCTGTATTTCTTAAAGAGAAAAACATAAAAAATTACGAACTCTGTTTGATTGCACGTAGATGATCCCTCCCTCAAGGTCATTCATAATAATTCTACACACTGACCAATCACAGCCAATTATTAGCTACAATGTGGATTTTTTTCGTTCGTTTTTGGAAAAAAAATGCGTCACACCTTTTCATAGCATAAACTTTACTTACATTCGCCTTTTGTAGCTTCTTCTTCAGTATGTCTTTAAACTAAAATATGGACAAATGTTACTTTGGTAAATATCTTAGCAAAATGTCATTTATTCTTATATGCGCATATATATAGATAGATAGATATATTCATGTAATTACGAAAGTTTAAAATGTCACTTAGTATGTTTGTCCCTACCATACTGATAAATCATTCCTCTTCACTTTACTGTTCACATTTCTGTGTACACTAAACTTATGAGAGAGAGAGAGAGAGAGAAATAGCTAGAAGAAAGTAGATCAGAACTGGTTGAATAGATATTTGAAACTTGAATTTTTTTGGCGGTTCATTCAACAAACAAATGGTGTGGCACAAATTCAAACTTGACGACATATAAGACATGGTTCGTAAGTCCGTGTACGTGTACATGTGCGTGTGTGTAGCACTACCGTATAAAAAATATCATCACCATAGTTACAGGATAACAAAGAACAACTGTCATTTGAAGAAATGGAAAATGGATATTTCTTGTGGTCATCGTTTTTTGTAAATGATGTATAGTTTTAAGTGATATGCGTTGAAGTAACTAAGCATAACTATTAGTTGCGGAGATTAGTTGATGTTGAAGAAATGATATCAGTTAAAAGACACACTGAAGCATCGTATTACACACATACACACACACACACAAAGTTATATAACTAATAGAGATATATAACATAAATAATGTTGAACAGTGGAAAAGATATACAACTTATCAGTGTATATCTGCGTATATATTTGACGTCATTTCAAAAGAAAAAATATTGAGTGAAAACATGAAAAAGTGATTACACAAATCGACTAGATAAGCAACCCTCTGTAAAAAACTGAAGATATACATGACTTGTCGATTGAAGTGCTTCACTGGCAATCACTGCTTCCCAAAGTCGAATCCCAACCGTCGGACTTCATTCCATCCAAGCAAATTCGTAGTACCATCAGTATCAGCTGTCATACAACACAGATGTGGTTTTTAGCCTGTCAAATTAGAAATCTGTAACGAGTTCCTGTGAATAAACTGAATATCGGTATACCTCCCATTTATGCTGATCGTTGTCTGTTGTTGTTGTTGCTGTTGGTGGTGGTGTTGGCCAGGAATTTTCATCACCTCTATTTTCTCTACATTCACCTGAAGTCCTATCATTGATGCTTCCTCTTCCAACTTGTTGCTTTTCGCTTGCATATCTTCCAGTTTGTGAGAAATCAAACATATATCATCGGCGAAGTCCAGATCCTCCAAGTCTCTTTTTGTGTGAGTCCATTTTATGCCTGTTTCCTCATTGCCCACTAACTGTCTGTCGCATTATCCAGTCTACTGCAATCAGGAAAATCTTCGGCAGCCTTGTCTTACTCCTGTCCTCAATTCGAAGGGTTCCGTAAGTTTCCCTTTGTGGATTACTTGGCATGCAGCATTGTCGTACAGCTGTTGGATGAGATGTATAATTGTCGGTGGCACCCCTTGGTAGTAGCGAAGTAGTTGCCAAAGCACCTCTCGATCGACGCTGTCGAAGGCCTTTTCAAAGTCGATGAAGTTGAGATAGAGAGGTGACTGCCATTCCAAGCTTTGTTCAATGATGATCCGTAATGTGGCGATCTGATCAATACATGACTTGTTTCTCCTGAATCCAGCCTGTTCTGGTCGAGGTTTTTCATCCAGGTTGGCTTGTTTGATTCTCTCCAGGATGATGCGGCTTAGTATTTTGCTTGGGATAGACAGGAGCATAATTCTGCGCCAGTTCTTGCATTGACTTAAATCTCCTTTCTTTGGTAGTTTGAATAAGTATCCTTTCTTCCAATCCTCGGGTACTTTGCCTTCTTTCCACATCTTCTCCAGTAGTGGCGTCATCAAGTCCGCTGTTGTCTCTGGGTCCATTTTCAATGCTTCTGCTGGAATTCCATCTGGTCCTGCTGCTTTTCCAGCTTTCAGCATCTTGATTGCCTTCAGACTTCTGATTTCGTCGGGGGGTTGGTGTTCACTGGTAGCTCTGTCTCCGCCGTTGGTATTGTTGGGAGCGTTGTAGGTGGTGGTCGACTTAGTAGTCTTTTGAAGTGTTCAGCCCAGTGTTTCCTTTGCTCCACTTCTTTGGTGAGTGACTTCCCGTTGTCATCCTTCACCGGCTTAATTTGTGTCAAACTTTTGCCCGATAGGTACTTCACAAATAGGCAGGAAGAAATGGAGATGGATTGGCTGGCCATACTCTGAGGAAACAAACCATCAAGTGAGTGACATCACTAGACAAGCCATTGCTCGAGTGGAACCCGGCCGAAAGGGAAGCGGTGAGTTGGTCGTCAGTGCGAGGCGGGGTGACTTGGAGGAGGTCATGTGAAGAGGAGATGAAAGCGTGTGGGGGGAGACTTGGAGCCAGGTAAAGACAGTAGCAGAGAACCGAAAGCAACGGAGACGCACGGCTAAAGCCTTATGTCCCTCTAGGAATTAAAGGAAATAATAATAATAATAGCAATAATTTGTTTCACAATCAGTTCCTGTTGTGTTGGTTGGTTCGCTCATTGCCAGAGATCCCTTTCTGTTGCTGATCTTTTCTGGCTGGCCGGCCATCTGATCTTGAGTAGTATTGAGCGAAGACAACTAGCTGTTGATGAAGGTCTGTAGTTTGTTTGAGATGCTGTTTATGACGCACAGTGCAAGTCTCTGATCCATCCGTATAGTAAGTGGCACTGACTGACTTCACATTGGAGTTGAAAATCCGGATCTTATCTTCGTGTTGATGCTGAGTGCTGAGTGTTGACCTCCACACAGACTTGACGTGAGTAGTGAAAGCTTGTCTTGCTTTTCCGATCGATTGTTGCTTTGATATCCTCGTCAGTTCCGTTTGCCTGTAGTTGAAACGATGCTTCCCAGGTAGCGCACTGTACAACTCTCGTTTAGATGGCTACTTCCCGTTCTAGTATAATTTCTCCGGTTATTTGTGACACGTCTTATTATCTGTAGTGTTATATAAATAGTCCTTTGAGTCAAATGCTTGTTTACTAGCCAAAATAATCGAACAATGTGCCATTGTTTGTTCGTGATGTGTGTGACTGCAAATATCCTACAATCATGTCTGCTGATGAACTAGGATCCCACTCCATTATCGAGTCGAAAAATGTCTCATCGGACATCATAGTTATTCAAGCTAGCTCTACAACATCAACTGAAGAGGCAGCTGGTCAGCCAAGTTTCGCCAGCGATGAACCTTGTACAGTTCAACTGGAGTCGAACGAAGAGCATCTTTCTTCAAACGAAGATCATCCCATTGTTAAACTTAAAGACCAGTGTCCCGAAATAGAAATCAGTCTTAGCACGTCTAACGATGAAATCTCGTGTGCTTTACTGCAAAGAAAACAGCCCCTCATGGAGCTTGTCAGTTCAGAGGAAGGCTATGTTCGACGTTTGAAGCTAGTGAAGGACTTCTACATACCTGCGGTTTCTGCTCCTAGTACAGCTCCCTCAGGTGTTGATAACAATCCCTCAGGCACAGTAGGTCCAATAACTCACAGTGATTCGCAGAACCCACCGCCAGTTGCTCCAGAGGATCTAGCTGCAAGGTGGAAATATCAAAAAAATTTATGAATCCAGTTGAACTTCGGACAAATCATCTTTATGGTCAATTTTATGGCCTTTATTGATAGAGTTCAAACAAAACAGAAAGCGGTTAATTGGTATATGCATACACAAAAGCGAGTGGTGGTGGTGTCATTGTGTAGTGTTTTTTGTGTGGAGTGTGCTACTGACAATAATTCAAAAGTAGTATATTCTGTGTGATGTTGTCTGAAAGAATCTTGAGTAGTAGAGTAATGGATTAAGCTACAAAAAGGAGAAACGAAGATCCTTGTGAAACAATATAGAGACCATGAGGTGAATATAAACGAAGCAGAATACATATACCTTCTATTATTATTATTATTATTATTATTGTTCCCTTGGGTTCCTAGTGGAACATAGGGCTTCAACCCTTGGACGTCCCAATCGCCGATTCCCTCTCGGGTTCCACTCGAGCACTCGCCTGACTGACGCGATGTCACCCACCCAGCGGCCTCCTCAGCCAGTGTCCAATCCATCTCCACTTCTTTCTCCTGCATATTTGTTGGGCGATTGGTTCTTGTTTCGTTTGTTTGTTTGTTCCCACAGTTTCTTGTTGTTGGTTCTTGTTGTTTCCGGTGGCCATCTGATCTTCAGTATAGAGCCAGCGAAGACAGTTGTTGTTGATAAAGGTGTGCAACAGGCTGTTCGAAATATTCTTTGTGACACACTGGCCAAGTTTCTGATCCATCCGTATAGAAGAACTGACTGACTGACTTGACGTCGTTTGTATTGAAAATCCGAATCATTTTGTTGTTGATGCTGAGTTGAGTGACAGCGGAAGATTTCCAGATTGTTTTCAGGTTGATGAATGTATTTCTCGCCTTCCCGATTCTCGATTTGACATCCTCGTCCGTTCCACCTGCCTGTAGTTGAGACAATGCTCCCTAGATAAATGAATGAAGTAACCTCTTTCGTTGAAGTTTCTGTAGCACTTTGGTTAAGTTTTCGGGGTGGAGTTGCTAGCACCAAGCCCCAACCCTCCCTCTTTACCCGGGCTTGGGACCGGCTTGGTGAGAACACTATTATCCACAGGGGGAGTGCAGGTACACATCCAGGTGACGTGTCACAAATAGGACGAAATCCGCGCATCCTAAATACTACTGCTAGCCATCATTATCATCTACCAAAATAACGTTAGTACATTATTTATTCAAATTGTTTTTTACTTTAAAAAAGCCGCCAAATGGAATGTTTTCATTCTAACAAAAACAAGAAATAAATATTTATGTTAGAAAAGGTTATAAATCAAACATCGTAAACATAACCTACATTTGTAAACACAAAATCTTCACCTTAACCAAAGGGTTGAAAAGGAAGAGGATATTTTTCCGCCCATAAATATTTTTCACACAGAAGTTAAACGCCTAATTCATGTTAACAAGGAGTTACTACTACTGAATAATAATATAAGTAGGTATATTCATTCTTGACTAAAGTTTGTCACCCTCATCTATATGAGAGGGTGGGAGGAATTCAAAAATGCTTTTGTTGATGTGTTTTTAATGACATCAACTATGTCGTCTTTTAGATTTTCTTCTCATTTTACATGAAATTATAACTGCATAATAGTATATACTACTGATTAACTGATTTGAGTAGTTGAAAAGTAGTTACGTCAAACGGAGAGAGAACTAAACATTTCGGATAGCTGTTTCACTTATATTTAAAGCCGCGCTTATCAGGTGGTGTACCTAGATTCAGTGCTCTCAACACGAAGGGCTGAATCAGTTCAGGATACCAGAATTTTCGCTAGCTAGAATGTACATTATTCGCAATTATTAGTGTTCTCTGAGCTGGTTGGTTTAGTTGCGGAGCTTTCGTCGTCCTCCTGGACAACATCTTCAGCGCAAAATTTAGCAAATTATAAACTTGGATAAAACTCATAAAATTTTGCCTTACAACATACTTCCAATTCAGTACTCAAATATATGAACAAATAAAAGGAACAACAATGGGATTGCCCATATCACGATTAATAGCTGAAGCCGTTATGCAAAGATTAGAATTAATAGCTCTACCTATAATTAAACCGAAAATCTGGGTACGTTACCTTGATGATACATTTGTAATAATTAAGAGAAATGATTTAGAATATACGCATAAATTAATAAACAACATATTTGAAGGCATCAGATTCACAAGAGAAGAAGAATTAGATAACAAAATGCCATTTTTAGATGTCTTAATCAGGAGAACCAACACAGGAGATTTAGAAACACAAGTATATAGAAAATCAACGCACACAGATCAAATACTCAACTATACTAGCAATAATCCAATTCCTTACTCACAAACGAAACTGTGTGCAGACATTGTTCACAAGAGAGTTCAAACACATTGTAGCACTCCAGAGTTGAAAAGAATGGAAGAAAAATACCTACAAACGGTCTTCAAAAAGAATGGTTATCCAGAAAATTTCATCAGAAAGTGTTTGAAGTCGAATCAAAACACTAACAAACAACCATCATCAAAGACCACAAGGAAATTCATTCTACCATACATGAGGAATATCTCTGAAATAACACCTAGAATACTGAAACTGTTTGATATAGATATAGCACACAAGCCAGTCAAATCGCTTAATTCGATATTATGCAAACCGAAAGACACATCCAACAGAAAAAGGAGATAAAATTAATACAATTTACAAAATAAATTGTATGAACTGCAACAAGCATTACGTCGGCCAAAGTGGGCTACCCCTTCAAGTCAGAATCCAAGAACATAAATCAGCCGTGAAAAGACACGATATGTATTCTTTCATATCAATGCATACAGACAATTATGGTCATCAATTTGATTGGGATAATGTCGAGATCTTAGACAGAGGAAACACCAAAAGTGCAGTCAGGGAATTCCTAGAAGCCTGGTTGGTACTCAAACGAAAATGCAATTAACAAACACGATGAAACCTCCACAACTAAACCATCCAGCTCAGAGAACACTATTAATTGTAAATCATCCACCTGAGCTACAAATCTTCACTATTATGTACATTATTCATATTGCTAAGTAGTTTATATAGCTGATTTAAAGATGTGGTTAGGTATGAGGCTTCACAATGGTCATACTAATATAAAAATTGACTTCACTGTCCTCCTAAATAATGTTAGTAGTTTCAACAGGATAGGAAAAATAGTTTACAAGTATTGCCTTCCAGGGATTTGATTGGCTACAGACCTGATCATGAAATCAGTAAGAGAACCAGTGAAAGATCAGAGGGTGGTAGACAGCCTGTTCCGTTGTAGTTTGGGTCTCTCCATCAGTCAGTACACATCCTTCAGCATTTAAGCTCAGAACTTCCCAGTTACACATCTGTTGATCAGTTATCCCCTGAGATGGATATCAATGGCCCACCCACAAAAAATTCCTACTTCTAAAAATTCGCGATATATAAAAAAAGTGTACAGTCAATAGCATATTCGTATTAAAATAGCTTTCGTGGAATCTTCGACCTTCAGCTGCAAACTGAGCTGGTATCAATCCATGGTATTTTGAATATTTCAGCTAGAAAGTCTACACCTCTCTCCTCCTCGCTCAAACTAACACTCAGGGATTTTATGGTCTGGTGTTATGACTTCGTCCACCAACAGCCGCCAACTCCATCTTTTCTAACTTAATTCAATTTTAGCTAACATTGCTCGTTCATCAAGGCAGATGACGAGTCCCAAATAAGAAGAAACACACATCCAAAACCATCCACCAATTAACTTCTAATTACATGCCCAGACATCGTCGAAGTATCTGGACAAGAAGCCGACATATCAACCTGAGACAGAGCACTTCGGTCCAATCAATCGACGGGAAGATCTAAAATTGAATGAAATAATTAATATGACCCGTTGCACAAGAGGCAGTGGCTCTCGTGGCCCAAGTGGTCCAGTGGATAACACTTTGGCGTTTGAAACTATGGGCACTGGGGTTTGAGCCTCGGTGGGATTATCATCACTGACTGCGGAATGCAGGTACATCTAGTTGACGAGTCCCAAATAGGACGAAATGCGCGTTGTCGTGGATTCCACCAATTAACTTCTAAAAAATTGAGTTAGTCTTGAACACATACACTGGCCGTTTAAACTGGTGAAGCTTGAATTATCTTCTCCTCTTCAGATAACACTCTACTCCCCTAACCTGATGATTGATTACTGAATGTGTTTCGCCCTGAGAAGCACTGACAACAACTAATCCAAGTCACCTATGCCTGTACAACACTCGTAACCCCTAATATTCCTCAATTTGTGGTCACATAGAATAGTGTATATATGTATTGCTAAAGCTTCTTTAACTAGAATATTTTTAGGTAACAGCACTTAAACTGAATATACCCAAAAATCAATCAAACCTATACAGCAAATATGACAACCAAAAGTTAACTTTCTTTCTTTCTTTTTTTACCACATCTTATCACCATTTACGTTACATTTGGAAATACTTAGGCATACAACAGAACAACGATAAGAGAAAGGTGTAAGCAAAAAGGTAGGTAGGTATAGGTAGGTAGGTGGTTAGGTAAAGTGTGCAAAAAATAATCAATATTAAAGATTATGTGTAAATATCAGCCAATCAGAAGGCAGTAAGAAGAGATTAGAAAATTGGGTTAATTAGATAGACAAACAGACGAGTAATACGTCGTTTTTAACTATTTATATCATATGTATATAATCGTTTCTTTACATGTTCAATAAAAATGACCAAAATATTTTACTGTTACCTTCACCTTAAAAGGTTATCTATCATTCCTCATGGGGGTGGTGGGGATGTTTAGGGGGGGGGTTAGGAGTTTTTTCTGGTACAAAAAAAACGATAATTTTGGCATCTAGAACTGATATTAGGCGGTGATATTAGGCAATCTCTCTCTCATAAACAACCTGATCCGCCCAAAGGTGGACAGACTTCCACCTTCCTCTCGTAATACTGTTATATGGCCACACATTCATAGCCTCTGCCAAGTCAGTCCTGTTCACTGGCGAATTCTAACGTCTCATGTT